CCTCTCCTGGTCCACGGTGTTGATGTCCAGAGGAGGCGGGGCCTCGGCTCAACACTGCAGCATTCTGGCAGCTGGTGGGAAGAGGGGACTGGTCAAACTGATCCACCCCAGAAACAACGTGGCCTACGGGGAGTTCCGCGCCAGCCGCAAGGCGCTGTCGGTCCTCCGCTTCAACCACCACCAGGGAAACTTCCTCTTCAGTGAGCCATAGTTACTGTTTCTTGATTAAGAGCAAGCAGTATGACCTCTCTGTATCTGACAGTCACCCGGTTTAGAGGTCCAGCATCATCAGACAGATTAGAGAATCATTCTGCCTAATAAATACTTCATATTTGAGCGATATCTGGTGGTGGACAAACAGTGAGGCACATTGCAGTATTATATTTGTAAGAGACAAGTTAGGTGACTGGTAAATTTATCCATGCGTTATATTTTGTTTTCCTTTTTGTACTAGTGTGACAACTTCACTGACACCAGTTTGTCTCTTGCAGCCGGCTCATACGATAAAAAGATAGTGCTGTGGGACATCGGTGGAGTGGACAGCCAGTACAACTACAAAGTTGTGTGAGTATTTATGCTGAAGAAAGCCACTTTTATGTCTAGCAACAACATTTTTGCAGCAGTCTATACGTTTGTTTTTTAGAAAATCAAATGTCTTGTGGAGATTCTTTTTTTCACACCGTTTGACTGGAAACAAATCTACACACACCATACATTTAATAGACAGTTAAACCCTCAGTTGTACATTTACATTTGTAATGGCTCCAGCAGGTTTGTGTTTGTGATGCTGAGAATATTTCTGTCCCTCCAGTCAGGTGCTTGTGTTGGAGATCAGCACCACCCCTCTGCACATCTGCCTCCCCCCCACTTCCCCCAGCTCACACCTACTGACTGCCTGTGAGGACGGCCTGCACTGCTACAACACGCTCCTCGGCACCAACAACACCACAAAGAGGTAAAGGCATCCACAGTGTGCATGCGTTTGTCTTCTTGTATCCATTAAAGTGTCAGTTTGCTCTGAGGAGCTTTAGAGTGCAGACATTCCTTACAAAAAGGGGAACTTGAGGTGTCAACAATACCACCCTGTCAGCCTCTGGCACCACATATTTTGGGATAGCAGACTTTTCTGAGAAACACAGATCACAAAGAAGCAAACTTCAGTAAACGTTTTTGCTTTTACGGTTGGAAGTGTGACAATGTGAGTTAATTTACTCCAATTAAATTCTGACAACAGAAAGAGAGTACATTATACTGGTAATAGTCATATATGAGTTTTGTCCATCTCTGTTGATTGGAGTTTTAGTCAGAAAACAATGTGTATAAAATCATACACTGGACCAGCCTGCAACACTTTGTGTGTTTTTTGTTCTCTGTAGGACCGAAGAGATGGAGATAACTTTCCCTGTCTATAAGAAGGAAGACAAAGACCACGACTACCACACCATTGATGGCCTTAGTTTTCTCACGGATGACATAGTGGGTAAGTGAGGCTCTTACAGTATACCGCTATTACAAACAAAGTACTGACCCTCAACAAGTAATACTCATACTGAATATTATTAGGTATTTTAGCCGTGCACTCTGGCAACAAAAATCAAAGGCAGATATATGAGGACCAGCTAATGACTTATTCATATTCCTATTTACATTGTGTTTTATGTACCTAACACTAAATATGGAAGTTGGTCAACTATGCCGATTTCCTCTGTAAACAAATATCCTCACTGATTATTTGTTTGGTCACCACTAGATGGCGCTATACTTTAGTTTTTGTTAGTCCCTGTCTTGTAAGACCATGACTTCCAATGGACCTCATGTCTGTCTTTACACCTAACCATGTATTTAGTATATACAACCCAGCTATAAAAGATCTCAGTGTTGTTGCTTGCTTGGTATGCTTTTTAACTTTAGGTCTAATCAGTCACAATTAGGTCAAGTTTACCAGCTGTGCTTTCTTAATTTCAGCACCATATCAACATTAAGAATGTCTTCAATTTAAATTCTAAGATATGCAAAAACCCTGCCTCCAGAAATCCCTCGTTTCTGTCCATACGTTTGCTTAGATTTTCTCCTTTTTTGTCATCATCTAGCCTCCAAGAACTACATGCATTGTTCCATTTATTTGTGGAGCTGGAGCCGGACCAAGGCCCAGCGGCCTGACAGGAAGGACAGGACAGTTTGTGCTGCGGTTCTGGCTGAGCTGCAGTGGGCCAACACGGAGATTCCCTACCTGGCTCTCAACACCTGCCCAGGTAAGTCCCAAGTCATCTGATCAGTGAAGCTGCATTTTTCATTTTGTTTTCATTTTCTAATAATCCTTCAACACACCTGCGAAAATAATTCTGAACATGCTTTTGTCAGTACTGATGTGTATAACACTGGTGCTCCTCTAGCTGCATTTCCAGTTTATCTGTTTATTCCACTTCAGTCTCGGTTTGTGGCCGGAGCAGTTTACGGTTTATAGTAAGCTTTGTGTTTCAGTATCAGAGGAGAAAAACCTGATTTTTGAAGTCATGCTGATATTATACTGTGTGTGTTCACTCCCTCTCCCTTAGGCCAAGCCTACGTAGTGTGTGGTGATGACAAAGGCAGGCTATGGACATACCACGTCTCCAGCTTGCACAAAAACAGTCTCCACACAGGGAAACCCATCCTTCCCACTGAGGTATCCATCTCCTCTAAATGTCCTGTTAACTATACTACTCTGCTTTCATACAATATTGTAGGGGAACCCTCTAAATATGTCACTGTAGATCTTGTGTTTACCAGAGATCTCTTTTGTTTTGGCAGTTGTTGGAGTGGCCGACCCCGGTAAGCAAGGACCACGGCCAGGTGGAGGGCCCCTCCATCAACAGCGTAGCAATGGACCCTGAGCTCCACTTCCTGGTGGCCCTCAGTGACAAGAATATGGTGATCGTGTGGAAGAGAGGTGTCCTCCTGAGCAACACGGGCTGTGTGACTGCAACTCACGATCGGAAGTCAGGTGTTACAAATCCTTAGGTGGGGAAGACTTTTGGTAATTGTGAGCTATGGTTTGTTTACTGTAACACCAACATGCTGCTCTGTCTCAGGCAACAGAGACAGACTGCAGGGATCCTGTGTCACATTTTTCACTTGTTTTCTTCATTTGTTTGGGGAAAGTGACTTTTATGTTGATGTGACATCAACAGTGAAATCCGTTTTAACCTTCTTAATTTGCAGAATTTTATGCTGATATAGATAAATGTTGCTGCTGTTGGGAATAGTAGCCAACAGAAGAGATTTGTCAATTGTCACTATGTGACAGATTTTGATTTAAATAAATGTAAAGTCATCATCCCTGAATGAGTAAACACAATGGTGATTAAGCATATGGCCCACTGATGAAAGCCCATACATATGCAGTATTACTGATTGGCTGTGGTGACGTTCCCGGGAAGTCCCGACCCTGTTAGGATCTCTGGGAAGTGAGATGCTAAAAAAACTCACCTGCGTTTACCGCTTATCGCTATACGTGCCGCCAAAGAGAACAAAATGAGAATCTTTGAGATTGTAGCTGTAAAAGAAGCGGCATATAAAAATGTCCGGTCCAACCATAAAACATGGCGTTAGATTCACCAATAATAGGTAAATTATTCAATGTGATGACTTACTGGAAATTTATGGGCAGAAGTATGTGTCGCTAGAAACTGAAAATAACGTCGAAGAGTTTTGGGTAAGTTAAGACTGATTTTTGTCATAAATGTCACCTTCAAATATACATATTTAAAGTGAATAATTGTACGCGAATGAACCTCATCTGTTTTTTTAGGGTCAGTCTTTGGACCTTGCTGTTCAAAGTAACTTTATGTAATGTCCTGATAATGCAAACAGTCAACACTGCTGTGAGGAGTACAGAGGCAGCCTGGTTACTGACTGCTGAGATAGTAAATACAGTAAAGTGTTTCTAATCCTACAGTACTTCTACTGTACGTTCCTGTGTGCAACTCGCTGTGTTTTTACGTTAAGTTGTACAAATATCTTGATTTAATAAATCAAATTATTGCATTTTTAAGACTTATTTCATTATTGTGTGTGTGCATCAATATCAGTTTTACGTGTACTTTTTATTTATATTTACCTCGCCATCAGACATCCCTTTCCAACGCGGAAGTGAAGCCGTTATCTATACGCTCTTCAAAGCTGCAAGTCTGCTTTGACAGAACCACTGCCTCGTTTGGTGAGTTTGTTTGTATTATTGTGTGACTTTGGTGAATCCAAACGCCCGCTTTTAAAAACCAAAGTCAAACAATAAAACTCAAACTAACCGGTCGAGGCAGCAGTAGCAACTCCGGTGTTCTCCGGGCTAAAATTACTGTTGTCAAAGGAGTTTGTGTCATATAGCGTAGACTAAAACTGATTATTTTTTTCTTTTGTGTGACTGAAATGGACAACTATAACTTCTGTTGTGTGACATCTGTCCTGCATTGCTTGTTCTGCAGCTACATACATATAACTAATAAAGTGGGGCTCTGTATCAGGTTCATCTGGCCGTGTCGCAAATGTTTCTGTTAACGTGAACAATGAAGCATGTACATGTACTCAAGTACTCTAGGTACTTGTACTGTACTCGAGTATTTCCATTCTATGCTACTTTACACTTCTGCTCCACTCATTTTTGTAGGAAACTATTGTACTTTTTACTTTTAGATTTAAATAACTAATCGAGAAAAAAAACGTATACATAATATATTACTAAAGGTTAAGCTACTCAGCAGTATATAAAGTAATTAAAATTAACCAGAATATTTGTTCTACCACCAGTAAGGACCAAATAAAGTTCTAGTTTGCAGTAGAGATTAGAGTTTGGGGATAAAACCAGCTAAGTAATCAGGATTTTTAAACACGGATTAAGTGTGGACCCTATCCACTTGAGCTCAGCCAGACTCGCAGGCTAGAATACTTGTTGTTTATCGGTCGGGTCCGGCTGTTCCTTTCGGTTCAGTTCGCTCCGCCTCTGATTGACTGATTGGTTCAGCTGTCATGGTGTCGCCCCCAGATTTCCCCTCTCTGGCCAATGCGCGCAAAGCCCTTTCTGTACCCTCTCTACTGTATCCAGATACGTGCCTTTGTGCACCAGTTCGACGCAAACCCAAATGGCCCCGTAGCGACCCTCTTAACCATTTAGTGCTAGTACGGGAACAGGGCAGCCCTGTTCACTCACTCGGCTCGTCTCCAAAATATGCGTCCGGGCCTGGCGGGTATAGCGGCGGAGATGCTGAGCGGTGCTACCTGCGGTGCCAGGCCGAGGCTCGGCAGCCTCCTGCTGGCCAGCCTCTCCAAAACAGTGCCGCCGATGTCAGGCATCGGGAGCCGCAGATTTCGCTCCACGTCCTCGATGCAGGGATTCTCAGAGATGGCAAGAGAGCGGTCGAAGACTGTCACGTCGTTTTACAACCAGTCTGCCATTGACGTTTCCGCAGAAAAGGTAAGAATGTGACATGTTGGCCGGTGCACTCTTCCGAAACGTTGCTGCCACTACGAGGGAGTAAGCTAGCTGTAGCCGGCTGTAGCTCGATGGTACTGCTAGCTGCTAGCTAGGTTTGTGATGCATTCACGGACACTGAAAAGGCAACGAATACGAAGTCACTTCGTAATTTACAGCTAACTAGCAAAATTACGTTAATACTTGGGACCCGATTTAAAGTATATGCCTTCCTCCAATCTGGAGAAAGCTCTCACCTATAAAATATATGTGATTCATTTACAGAATAATGTCTTTTATTTAAAATAAAACAAATTGGAAAGTCCAGCTTAGCGTTATATCAAACTAAAACACAAGTAGCTACTGTTTGATTTCCAGGACAATGCATTGTTTATGATTATGTGTACAATTATAATATATATTATTGTAACTCAATGAAGGTGATGGCTGTTCCTCTGTGTCCCAGACGACCTGCCCTGCCAACCTGGATGGGAAGAGATGAATAATGTCGTTTTATGTCGCTATACCCAAACAAAACAAAAAGCACACACGCACACTCTGAACTTCACCACTTTTCTACTCCGGGTGTTATTACCAACCTGATGGACATACTCATCCATTGTGTTTGGCATGTCAAAGTTAACCATATTGACAATTTGTATAATTTATGATTATTATAATTCTTTTTTTTTTTTGTGTGTGGCTCAAGGTGGGGCCATGCCCCATTGCCCTCTATTGACCAGCCGCCACTGGATTAGACCATAGGATTTAGTTGTTAGTAGGTGTTGTTTAGGTTTATTTATTTAGTTATATATATTATTTTATTATCAGAACAGTGAAGAAAAGTTTACCCTGAAAATGCACACTCCGGTACAGTAGGTGGCGGTATGCACCTATGCAAGTTGGTTGCGATCCGCCATTGGAATTTAAAGAAGAAGAAGAAGAGTTAACTGGAGTCGTAGCTTCGGCGTAGAGGACTACAACTGTAATGACCGCTTCACTTGTTCACACAAGCAATAAGCAAAAAGGCACGAGCACGTTTTCTAGCAGTAGCTTGTCTTAACACTCTGTAGATAGGGACCATATGTTCACTGACTTAATGTTAAAATTGACTCTTTTAAGTGTTTCATTGACACTGTCGATTTTACTGTGCACTGAGAACAACAACAATTGGACTCTCGCTGCCAGTGACAACCATCAGTCCCTTCCAGATCATCAGCGCAGAGGAAACAATCTTACCAAAGTTCAGCACCTGGTACTCACATGCTCATAGTCTCTCCCAGACCACCCAGGCCACCCAGGCCAGCAGGAGGAGCAGGCAGCAGTACGCTCCTGGAGAAAGGAAAAGACGGTTTGATGAGGTTCATTTTACAATGACACCACAGTCTAGTGTATTACACAAAGGAGCTTGGCTTGGGTCTTAAGGAGTTGTAGTATTTATTCACCAACTAATAAACTGTACACACACACACTTTCTCTCTCGACCGGACAATCACCAACGTTATGTTGGGCTTGCAGTACACTAGGGGAAACCCTGACAGAGTATGCTAGACAGACAGACAGACGATAACCTCACAAGTAAACTAATTGATACGGTGGACTGGTGGCTGCCAACTCTCCCAGACGGGTTAACTGGAGACTCAGGTGCCTCTTTTCCACAGTTGTAGATAAATGATGAATTTACCCTTTTCGTACTTCTGCTCCTCCAGCTGTCAAAGAAAGATGTTTCACAGGTTATCAGAGATTCCCAGTTCTAAATTTAAAAATGTTGTCTTGTATATTAATGTGTGCTTTGTCCTTACTGCATATGAACAGATATGCAGTGGAATGCAATGATATATTATGGTGGACACATGTTTTATCCAACTAGTCAGACCTTTAAGGGAGTTAAGGGTTTGAATGGATTTTGGATATAATAGTGGAAATTTACCTGCCGATTGGCGGAGTGGTGGGGGCGGCGGCGGCCACGGCCACGGAGGGGTGGGGACGGGGACACAGGGACACGGCGCCTCCTGGGGGACGGGGACAC